TAGATGTCTGCATTTTCTAGAATTTTTATAAATGGAATTATACAGTATGTACTTAACTTTTTTTTTCTTTAAAGAAATGCTGGCCCTAGCCAGTTTGGCTCAGTGGATAGAGCGTCGGCCTGCGGACTGAAGGGTCCCAGGTTCGATTCCGGACAAGGGCACATGCCCAGGTTGCAGGCTTGATCCCCAGTGTGGGGCATGCAGGAGGCAGCTGATCAATGATTCACTCATTGATGTTTCTATCTCTCTCGCCCTCTCTCTTCCTCTCTGAAATCAATAAAAGTATTTTTAAAAAAGAAAGAAAGAAATGCTGGTCATAACACACCAAATTGATGTTGCCACTTAAGATCATAGACCTGAGGTTTAAAAACTCCCACTTGGAAAGCTGTGTTACCGCCAACCCACCTCTCTTATTAGCCTCCCTCGGAAGATCCTCATACCCATTCTCACCTCTGGGTTCCTGGCTCCAGGAGGGCGAGGTAGGCACAGGCACTCCATTAGAGAATGGCCACAATAGGAGGCAGAAGGCTTCAAGGGAGAGAAGAGAGTGAGGGCTGGGTGCAGGGGACCCTGGGTGCGGGGCTGGGGGCAGGGGGCGCTGGGTGCAGGGCCCTGGGCACAGTACCTGAGTAGGTGAACCAGGTCCTCCAAGCGGAGCAGGCTCTTGGTCCCATTGGCTCTCCTGGCTGTTTGGGGACATTTGCCACATTATTATATTATTTTTAATATATATTTTTTAAAATTTATTTCAGAGAGGAAGGGAGAGGGAGAGATAGAAATATCAATGATGAGAGAAAATCATTGATCAGCTGCCTCCTGCATGCCCCCTACTGGGGATCAAGCCCGAAACCCGGATGTGTGCCCTTAATCAGAATTGAACCCGGGACCCTACAGTCTGCAGGCCGACGATTTATCCCCTGAGCCAAACCAGCTAGGGCTGCCACCTTATTTCTAAGTAAGGCACGTATACTCCTAGTTCTTAAAGACACCCTCCTCCCCTTTTTTATTACCTGTTGACTTCCTAATATGGAAGATAAAAATTTCATGCTTTTACTCTCCTCCCATATAAAAACAACAACAACCCCTCTTAGTAATTAAACAGTCCTGTTACCAGTTATGCCATATTGAGCACCCTTTCACCATCCTGGGCTGCATGAGTAATGGGTATGTAATTAGTACGTAGTATGTATGTTGATTTCTAACAAAGATACCACAGCTCAGTGAGGAAAGGATGGTCATTTCTATAAATGATGCAGTTGCATATGCATATGGAACGGGCCCCACTCCCTTGCTACCTGGGGACATTGGCAACGTGTGAAGAAATTTTGGTTGTCAAAATAGGAGGTGCTACTGGCAGGGAGCAAAATTGTCCCTAACTGAGAACCCTAGCATAAACAAATGTAAAAAGTCATGGAGCTTCATGAAAATTATATTTTGTTAAAAGGATAAAAAAGAATGAATTTAGTGAGTTCACTGGATAGAAAATCATTTACATAATGATTTGTATTTCTACATATCATTAACTCCATTGTATTTCTATACATCAGCCCCAACCAAACTGAAAATGGAATGTAAAATACTATAAATAATCATGTCAAAAAAAATAATCATGTCAAAAATATCAGGACCCAGGACTAAATATAATCAAAGAAGTACACGACACGCAGAGAAAATTAGAGACTGAATGCAGAGAGATGCTGCGTTTGTGGCTTCAAAGACAGTATTGGGAAGATATCAGTGTCCTGAAAATACTCTGTAGACTCAATGGATTCCAACCCAAATCTAGGACAATGGCTTTCAACCTTTCAACGGTGTTCTAATTACTCATTCTCTCTCTCTCTCTCTCTCTCTCTCTCTCTCTCTCTCTCTCACACACACACACACACACACACTCCCAAGAACAAAAGTTTTATGAAACACTACTTACCCTGACTACTTCAGATTGGCTTCCATGTTTTCTGTTGTATCTCCATCATGTTTTTAATGGAACTAAATAGATCTGTGCAACTAAATTGATTTCATTATCCGCTTACAAGACAAAATCTGCAGTTTTAAGCTCCTGGGGAAGCACTGAGTGTCCTGGGGAACCGCTCCCCCATCACACAGGTCTCCCCAAGGCCGACTCGTCACTGGTGGGCGAGCTTCTTTTTCAGGAAGTCCATTTTCAATCACAGTCACAATATCGGAATCTCCAGAGCTCTCAGTCTCCCCAGCCTCCGCCTGGCTCAGGGAGCCTCCAGGACACAGCCAGGCAGCCTGCCCGGCAAAGCCAGCGCAGGGCCCCCATTCCAAGTAGCCACCATCAGCCCCTAACCCCTACCCCTGCTCTACCCCTCCCCTCCGCCCAACCCCACCCATAGACTAGGCACACCGCAGCAAGCAGAAGTAGTGGTTTTATAGATAAACAGGTGACGTCACCATAAAAGGAAGTTGAGAGAGCCGCCACTTCTTATGGCAAGCCACAAACTGTTACCAAGTGGAAAATGACGAACAGCCAGCAAAAACCCCAAACCCGTTCGAGAAATACCATGTGAGTAGAAACCAAGACATTCTAGAAAATCATTGTCCAGCCGAGAGCAAACTGACATAGGTATGTGCCCTGACTGGGAGTCGAACCTTCCCCTCCTGGTTCATAGGTTGATGCTCAACCACTACATGCTCTTTTTTTTTTGTTGTTAAACAGTGAGAGCCAAATAACTTCCTGGAATAGAAAGGTAAGAGCTGAATGAGCGTCCACTAATGGAAAACCAGTATTTGTCTCCATCCCATCTCCATTTGATGTCAATCAAAACCCACCATTGGCTTTTAATTTTTAAAAATGCAAATTCTGCACACATACATCAGTTATCTGATGTATAATAAAAGAATGGGGAAGGGGAAGTGAAAGAAGAGAGAAAGCTGCTGTGGTAGCGGGGGTGTGGTAGAGCCACATTGCGGTGCGGAGTAGCAGGTTCCCGTCTTAGCAGACACTCCCTCTGCTGCTGGAACAGACACATGTTCAGATATGCAGCTGTGTCTGTTGCATTGATTGGCTGCCCGTCAAATCGAAATCTGATCCACCTCATTGACAAACCCTACTATTCACAATAGGCTTCCATTCGTTTACTAAGAGGTGTATTGCCTCTTAGTCTTAAAGCACATCACAAACCATCCTGCCCCCTGCCCCTCAAATTAATATGATCGCTGTTCTCACTCTGGGCTCCTCCCGGGGCTTTCCCTTGGCCATGGTGAACACCCGAGTCTCCTCAGTCGCCGCTTCACAAAAGAGGTGCCAGGTCCGCTGAGCACCCACTGACCACAAGCAGCCCCCCGAGCGGCAGAAGGTGGCAGCCACGGTGGCAGAGCGCTACCCTGCCCCTTAAAACAATCGACAGATTACTCTCTAGTGCATTTCCAAGTTGACACTAAACTCTCTGAAAGTTCAAGTAGTTGCAAAGGATCTAACTTGTGATGTGAACATTGACATATTCCAGCAGAGTGGCGCATCCTTCCTTTGACACATCTAATGTCATCCACCTGCGCTGGTGATTTGGTGCCAGCCAGTGCCCCGTTTCAAAAAGAACAAAAGAACAAACTTCTTTTACCGTCAGGAATTTTACATTCTTCCTCTTTGTCCTTGACCTTAACTTGGAGCTCCCTCTGGACAGAATTCTGCCTCATGAATTAGGTACCATGAACCAAAATATATACAGAAACCAAATTTTTAATTTTATTTAGTTTCCTGTGACTATAAGGTTCCAAATGTTAAAATATTTTCTTCTGGATTGAATTACTTTTAAAATTTTTGCTAGTGCACAAATAATATAAAACATTTCATGTTTCATGTATTTTCAGGAATAAGTATTAAACATTGAAAGTAAAATATGTTGGCCCTGGCCCGTGTGTCCAATGGTTGGAGCTCCAGCTGAGCACCAAAGGGTCCTGGGTTCCCTTCCAGTTAACCTGGGTCCCCCCCTCCTCCCCCCCAGCCTGTTTCCTCCCCCTTGGGGAGTGCGGGAGGCAGCTATTAGCAACCAGTCTATTTCTCTCTCTTCCCCTCCTTCCCTCCCTTCCATTCTCTCTGAAAAGCAGTGGAAGAAATATCCTCAGGTGAGAATTAACAAAAGAAAAAGTAAAATATGTTGGAAATTAATCTCCAAATAAGCTAGGCAGGGCACCCGCATTAATTCCACGCGCTCTTGCATGAAGATGCATTATTACGGGAGTGAGTCGGGGTTCGTGTCAATCCTGCCTTGGTTTTTAAGGCTCAGAAGGGCTGGAAGTTTTCCTCACAGAAGCGGCCAGGCAAGGCAGTTTCTGTGCCAGCAGCACAGTCAACTCTTCCAAGGTGTGTTTCTATGCCTGCCATGGAGAGCGGGCAACTGTCAGCTCCCGCTTCGGGCTGTGGGGCTATTTACGAGCCACCAGCCCGTTACCCGCTTTTCACAGGTTCAAGCGCTTAACCGCATCTCACATTTCAGCTGCCCTTCCCTTGGATCCAGTGGGTCCCCCTCTGCCTCAGCCCTGACACTGCATTCTGGGAAGATTCGAAAAGAAAGGGGGTCGCCCTTTCTCCTGGGAAGTGGATGGGGTGACAGTGCCAGGGGAGGAGGACGGGCTGGCCCGGATGGCTTGGGGGTGGGGGCGGGATGGGGGAGCAGAGGGAGCTAAGCGCCTGCCAATGGAGCCTTCACAGCTTCCGGGGACTTGGTGCTCTGGGAGCTTCTGGTGACCCTTCAGGGGCACAGCCCCCGGTCTGAGGGCTTCCCCTCCCGGGCAGGGCTTCTCGTTCCTGGCTGCTGACCAGAATCTTCTGGGCGATTTAAAAAGATGCCCACAGGGTTACCCCAGGCCAGGGGACTCGGCCTTCTCTGGGCGAGGCCGGTTCGGGTTTGTCTAAAGCGCCCCCTGGCGATTCTGTTTGCTGTGTCTCCATCGCTCCCACCTGGACACGGAGGCGTGCTGGGCGGGGCTGGCAGGGGGCTCGCAGAGCACGGGCTGACCCCTCTCTTCCCCCGCAGTGTACCACTGGGTGGAGATGCGGACCAAGATGCGCATCATGGGCTTCCGGGGCACAGCCATCAAGCCGCTGAACGAGGAGGCGGCCGCCGAGCTGGGCGCCGAGCTCCTGGGCGAGGCCACCATCTTCCTCGTGGGCGGCGCCTGCATGTGCTGGAGTAA